AGACTTCTCACTGGCTCCACATGCAGTACAGAGAACTATATGGAACAGATGTGATGAGTTTGGGATCTTTCTGGTCTATTGTGAGCAGAGCAGAGGATAAAACCTTGAGCTCCAAGAGGAGGGTGAAGGGTTCTGAGGCACCTCATTACATTCTCTGCCCACCTCCTTCTCTCCTCTGTCAGCCACTTGCTCTGAGCGGCACCTCACCTGAAAGCTGTGATCTTGTATCGCTGGGAATGATAGCGATCTTCTTCGCCAACACAGATCTCACTTTATTCCCAAAACCAGAGAGGAACAGAGTCTTGGGCAGGGGTGGGAGTGGGGCTACACTGACTGAACCTGTTGAGTGGAAGTGTAGGCCAGTCAGTGACCACAGCCTGTCTCAAATGCTGCAGGAGAGAAATCAGGACAGAAATGGAGGCAGAAGAGAAAATCTTCAGCACCATGGAACTCCAGGACTGGAAGATGCAACCAGTGCATCTGGAGATGGCCGTCGCGACATTCCTTTTTCTGTGTTTTTAAAAATAAAAACTATTTACATTTTTACATAATTCAGCTCAACATCCTCAGTTTACAGTTACTATTTACAGTTACAGTTAGAGAAAGCATGAGTAATAAACCTTTAAATGGCCAAACATACAAAAATAAATCAGACTCCTGAAGAGCTCAGGCCGCTGCTGCGCTACATATTTAATGAAAAAGTACAGAGTAGGAGCACAGAAATTGCTCTCCCTATTATATGTGTTTTAGTTAAATTTAAAAAAAAAACGATCTCTTCTTTCCTTCTGCCACTCACAGGCTCATGCTTGACCCATACGACTGTCCTGGACGAATGTTCATTGTTTTCCTTCAATCCCTGTTGGTGTTGTTGGCAGTGAAGGCATGGAGGTTTCCCATTTGGCTGAGGCCGCTCTGGATGTGGGCTACATGGATTTCAACGTTGTTTTGGAAGCAGCTACAGAAACAATAGCTTATGTTGAGATCGCCCTTTTAATGAGGCAAAACATTTTGAGGCATATTAGATCAAAAGGTTAACCAAAGAGGCAGACTTTGAGAAGAATCAGAAAGGAAGGGAAAGGGGTGGAGGGGTTTGGGGAGGGAATTCTTGTGCTTGGGCCCCTTGGCAGCTGCAGACATGGCCACCAGTGGTGGAGCAAATGTAATTTGGGGACACGGAAATTGTCAGAACTGGCATCTGTTGCGGTAAAAGGCGCCACAGGACATCAGATGAGCAATATGGTGACAGAGGAGCAGTGGGGAGAGTTAATGATGGGTGTCATCACACATGTGGAAAGTGATGGTGGATTTTAAATAATGTCATGAAGGGCAGCATACAGATAAGAAATAGGAAGCAGCCACTAAGATTGATCTTTGGGGGATTTCCGAGATAACGGTGGGAATGAGAAGAAAAACCTTTGCAAGTGACATAACTGATTGGGTAAAGTGGAATCAGGGAACTTAGGAATCGCCATTCAGCCCCTTAAGCCTGTTCTACTATTCAATGATTTCTTGGCTGATCTGTGGCTTAACTCTTATATATCTGTCCTTGACCCATATCCCTTAATACCTTCGTTAAACAAAAATGTATCTATCTCAGGTAAAACTAATAATTGATCCAGCATCCACTACCATTTGTGGAAGAGAATTCCAAACATCTACCACTCTTTATGTGTCGAAGTGCTTTCTTCCTTCCATCTCTCCAAAATGGTCTGGTCCTAATTCTCAGAATGTGCCCCCTAGTTCTAGAGTCTCCAACTAGTGGAAATAGTTTATCTACCTTGTCTTTTCCTGTTAATATCTTGAATACTTGATCAGATCACCCCTTCACCTTCTAAATTCTACAGAAAGCAGGCCTAATTTGTATCATTACTCCTCATAACAGTCCAGGTATCATTCTTGTAAATCTGTACTGTACTTCCTCCAGGCCAATATACCCTTCCTAAGGTGTGGGGCCAGATCTGCTTACAGTACTCTTCCGTCCTCAACACCCAAGGTCTCTTTGGACATCCACTATATTTAACTCCATACCATCCAGAAAGTACCCTGATCCATCCTTGTTCAGCCCAAAATAGATAAGTTCATTTTTATTGCCTACATTGAACTCCATCTGTGATGGGAAAGCTGGAGGGTTTTTGAAAGAGGATGTTGTGGTCAAAAGCTTGAGAAGGACAAGGAAGAAACGTTTAGCTTTGCCACAGTCACAGAAGATGTCAGTTGGCTTGTAACACTGATTCGGGATGTTTTTGGTCCTGTGGCAACTGGCTGAAAACGGAAAACATTCAAACAAGGAATCCTGGCAGATATGGGCACAGATTTGGGATGGACAATACATTTGTGTTCATGACAGGAAAGGGAATTGGCCTCTTGTTTTCAGCGGCAGCAGCGCGAGCCAGAGTGCCAACGGGAAGGTAAGGCGGTTTTTGTATTCCCCAAGAGTTGCCACCGAGGTGGATAGAGTTGTTAAGAAGGTGTATGGGGTGTTAGCTTTCATTAATAGAGGGATTGAGTTCAAGAGCCGTGAAGTTATGCTCCAGCTATACAAAAGCCTGGCTCGGCCACATCTGGTCACCTCATTACAGGAAAGATGTGGAAGTGTTAGAAAAGGTGCAGAGGAGATTTACCAGGATGTTGCCTGGAATGGAGGGAAGGTCTTACGAGGAAAGGTTGAGAGCGCTAGGGCTTTTCTCTTTAGAACAACGAAGGATGAGAGGTGACCTGATAGAGGTGTACAAAATGATCAGAGGTATAGATAGAGTGGACAGCCAGAGACTTTTTCCTAGGGTGGAGGTAGCTTTTACGAGGGGACATAGTTTTAAAGTGAAAGGAGGTAGATATCGGGGAGACGTCAGAGGTAGGTTCTTTACTCAGAGTGGTTGGGGCATGGAATGCATTGCCAGAGAGGGTAGTGGAGTCGGCCTCATTAGGGACATTTAAGCGGCTATTAGATAGGCATATGGATGATAGTATAAAAAGGTAGGGGTGGAAGTTAGATAGACCTTAGGTTTAGGGTAAAAGTTCGGCACAACATCGTGGGCCGACGGGCCTGTACTGTGCTGTACTGTTCTGTTCTATGTTTTATGTTCTATGAATTACTGATGGGGTGATTGTTTGCAAGACCAGAAGATTAATAGGAACATAGGAAGAGAAGTAGGCCATTTAGCCCATTGAATCTGCATCACTGTTCAATATGATCGTGGCTGGTTAAACAATTCAGTGTCTTTTCCCCACCCCATTGCTATACCCTACATGCTGCTGGTCATCAGCAAGCTATCAATCTCTACCTTCAACATACTCAAAGATTGAGCCTCCACCGCACTCTGAAGTAGGGAATTCCAAAAGGATCACAACCCTCTGAGGAAACTAATTTCTCACCTTGGATCTAAGAAGTACTCCCCTCATTTTTAAAATTGTGGCCCACTGGTCCTAAAATCTCCAACAAGGGGAAACATTGTACCTGCATCTACTCTGTCTATATCCCTCGCTATGCTGTAAGTTTCAATGAGATCATCTCTCATTCTTCAAAACTTTACAAAATACAAGGGCAGTGTGCCAAATCTCTCTTCATTTATAAAGTCCCACCATCCTGACAACAAGTCTATAAGGGTGAGTTTTTTTTTTTGAAAGGCAGCAGATGGTGATAAATTCAAAAGGGAAAGTAGTTCTTGAGGAGAGGCAGCCATTAGCAGCAAACATCAGTGAGTGTAGAGACCAGGAATGGGATCAACAGAACAATAGGCAAGACTTATAGATGAGAGAGAAATTAAAAAAATACTTTTATGAGATGTGGGTGTTACTGGCAAGGTGAGCATTTGCTGCCCATTTCTATTTGTCCTTAAATGGAGTGACTATAGTGTTGGGCTTAAAAGTGATATTCTCAAACCAGACTGTTAAAGGTTAACTGCTGATGGCAATGATCAATTGAGGAAAGTGGCAAAGTACATGAAGAACAGCTTGCTTTGACTGGGAGGTAACCAGGTGATGCTGTATTCTCTGAGAATTGTCCTCTTGTGCAGTAACATGGGGCTACCTGGATTTTTTTCTTAGCCCATTTTGAAGTTTGGAAAAGTACTGCAGCCATTACGAAGCGGAGATTCAGCATGTAATCTTAGATCGAGAAAAGTATTAATATCAGGGCTTTTCCCCCCCACTCATCGGACTTTTCATCGCAGGGCTGGGGTTCGCGAGACCAGTGCAATGGAATCTAAGATAGAGCCCCGAGTGCTACCGTCACCAGACGGATAGAAGGCAGTGTGAGACTCACTTGTTTGTACATACAGGTATGTTATGTAGTTTAAGCTAATAGATTCATTCATTACTTTTCATAGTTCTCAAATATATATTAAAGTAAATTAAGCTCATAAATCTGTTTCATATTGAAGTAGACACATCTTCTTGTATTAATTTTGTTCAACCTTAAAAGAACCTGTCAGGTACTGTCAGCCGAACAATACAGTGACTTGAGGCCATTGTTTTGGGTCTTGAGTCACAAGTGGGCCAGGCCAGACTAAGTAAGGATGGCAGACTTCCTTTGTTGAAGGACATTGGTTAAACCAATCTGTTTTTACAACAACTGATGATAGCTGCCATGATCACCATTATGGGAGCCAGCTTTCAATTCTGCATTTCTGAATTTCACCAGCGCCTATGATGAGATTTGAACACATACCCCAAGCGCATTTGCTTCAGCCTTTGGATTACTGGTCCAGTGGCATCAACACTACAATACAGTCTTCTGCATCCCTACTGGCTGAAACTGTTTAGGAGGAAACCATGTTCCACCTACCTTATGTTAGAAGCGTCTATAGAGCTTTTGATGTCATTCAAAGAGTCCGTCAATGATTTGAATTCAAAAGAGTTTAAGTCCCCTCCTTCTGCCAGGCACTGTGGGGGGAGGGGGGGAGGGGGGGAGGAGGGGAGGAGGGGAAGATACAATACAAGTTCAATGAATGCAGTTCCATTAAAAAAAAACTTTAAATACTTAAAACCTTAAATGCGAAATGTGCATGAGTTTAGAATAAAGAAGTCAGCCTATCAAAACTTAACTCTTCTGCTCAGAGATTGTAGGAACTGCCGATATTGGAGAATCTGAGATAACAAGGTTTCTGAAGATGGGTCCAGATACGAAACATCAGCTTTCCTGCTTCTCTGATGCTGCCTGGCCTGCTGTGTTCATCCAGCTATACACCTTGTTATCTCCAACTCTTCTGCTCTGCTTCTTTCCGCCTCTGCACCTCCAAACATTCACAACCAGAGATCATGAGCAATAGTAAATTGTTGGGGTGGGGTGGGTGCAGTTTGGGACACGAGGAGATTTTATGAGGGCTGCACATGAGGAGAATGAGGGGTTGGGATTTGAGAGAAGACTGAATTTTGTTCACTCCAGCACATCACAGGGACGATATTCTCAGACAATACTCCTCGGGGCTGAAGGCCTGCTTCTGGGGCCTTTTCTTATGATTACCCTGAAAATCTCAAATGCAGCCTGGTGTTCAAACATTTCTCTCCGTAAGCTATTACGACTGCTCAAAATCCGCAGCTCTCTGTGCTGGGATGAGGAGCGAGTGCTGTTAATAATTTGCTTCAGTCTGCCACTCATCATCACAAAGCTACACCGTTTGGGGTAATGTAGGATAATGGAGAGGGGGGAACTGGGCTCAGTTATAATGTGGGCCCGTGAGGACAGTTTGCTGACTTACAGGGGCGTGGCTCACTCAAAAGGACAGTGGTCATTTGGATAAAGGTACCAGAGGTTAACCCTTATCACTTGTAGCTCAGTAAAAGAGCTAACGCTTTCAGCAGAAGAGAGGAGGCCTACACCAATCTGCAGTGTTAACAGTGGGGGCATGACTTCAATGTAAGCAAGTGTGAGGTTATTTATTTTAGACCAAAAAAAGGATAGATCAGGGTACTTTCTAAGTGGTTATGAAGTTAAATACAATTGATGTCCAAAGAGACTTGGGGGATTCGGGTACATAGATCTTTAAAATGTCATAAAAAGAGATGCAGAAGATAAGAAAGATAATGGAATGCTAGTTTTTAATATCCTGAGAACTGGAGTACAGAAATGTAGAGGTTATGTTGCAGTTAAACCTCAGTTGGAATACTGAGTGTGGATCTGGACACCACACCTTAGGGATCATATGGAGGCCTTACAGCAAGTACAACGTAGGTTTACAAGAATGATATCTGGACTTCAGGGGTAAGGGGAGAGATTATACATATTAGGCCTGTTTTCTTTAGCATTTAGAAGGTTAAGGAGTAATCTGATTGAAGCCTTCAAGATATTAACAGGGAAAGACAGGGTTGATAAAGATAAATTATTTCCACTAGTTGGAGATTCTAGAACTGGGGTGCACATTCTGAGAATTAAGGCCAGATCTTTCAGGAGAGATGTTAGGAAGCACTTGTACACAGAAAGGGTGATGGATATTTGAACTCTTCCACAAATGGCAGTTGATGCTAAATCAGCTGTTGGTTTTAAATCCGAGACAGATACATTTTTGTTAATCAAAAAGGCACTGGAGGGATATGGGCCAAATGCAAGTGTATGGAGCTAGGCTACAGATAGCTAATGATCTCAAATGGCAGAACAGGATCAAGGCCTAGTCCTGTTCCTATGTACGCACACGCACACGTGAAGATCTTCCGTGGCGTTATTCATAGTTAGAAGTGCACTGTTTTTTGACCATGATGTGGAGTGGAAAGAAGCTTTTTGAAGCAAGAACACTAGCACAGACCTTTAGTTTGAATAGCTGATTTCTGCAGGGTGCATTCTATTCAGGAAAACAATCAATACATAATGCCACAACAACAACCTTACTCAGTGACCACCACTCCCTTATGGAAATTAATTAGCTCTGCGCAGTTTCACCATGTCAAATCTACATTCTGATTGGCCAAAGTAAACCCTCGACTGTCATGCTCATGTCAGTGTCTCACTATTCATTAGCTCCCTTCCCAGACTTGGTCTCACGATAATCTATCGCCCTACCACTCTGGCACCTCACCTCATTCTACTGCGTCCTCATTCTGTTACCCACCCTGGATTTCTCTCCAAAAACTCTTTGCCACTCATCTCCCTCAGGCTTTGCACTGGAATGGTAGCAGCCTTCCATCTTGTTACAATCGTGACAATTCACTGCACAGAAGGTCTTTAGTTAAACAGCTGGTGTTCATTTGATGAAGGTGGCTGAGCCAGGCAGATATTGTTTACTTAGTAATGAACCTATGCTGGCAGAATTGGCATGGTCCAAGACCTCCAAGTTGCTTAGAGATACCCAGGATAGACTTCAGACAGCGAAGCTGGAAACTGTTCCGCCCTACCCGCTCCGCCCTCCATACTGTCGTTGGCCACACTGATGTCTGGGGTTAGATAGATGTGCAGGTTGTTGTTATTCCTTACTCACTCGGCCAAAACAGCTACAGCTTTTGCAATGTGTGCCAATTTCAGGATGAAATCGTAGATTGCTGGTGATAGTGAAGCCTGGATACAGGAAGCTACCAACAGCCTCTGATGTCAGGTTACCAGTGCTGATAAAGGCAGTATGACAACATCCTGAATCATGAAGTTTGTTTTCCTGATGCTGATATCAAACCAAGCTCTTTGCAGATGTGAGTAAGTTTGTTTGTCCATTTGCTGCTGCAGGGGTGGAATGTTAGTGCAGATTTGTCAGCATTAAGCAACTCTCTGATGAAGACTTGATAACATCTTTGCTTTGGATCTCAGGCAAGTAAGACTGAACACAGCTTTCCCTCAGTTCTGGTATGTAAGTAAACAACCTTCAGATGAGCTGAAAGCATGTGACAGCAGCAAAGAGGAGGATGTGCCAAAGACTGTTGGTGCCAGAACACAACACTGTTTGAGCCCACCAGCAGATCTCCAAGGGTCCCAATGTTGCTGTCAGAGCTGACTTTGCCTATCATGTTGTCATGGAAACAGAGCACAATGAGCAGCATTGGCAAGCAGCCATTTCTCTCCTGCACCTTAAACAGACTGTCTCTGCTCACATGGTCAATATACTGGGGAGGACGATGAAGGGAATATACAGTGACCTCCTCTGTTCATGGTATTTCTCCTGCAACTGCCAGGCTGAAGATCATGTCTTGATTTTGACCCAGTGGAATGAAGCAATAACAATGCAGTTTGGAGTCAGAATGATGTGTACTTTGGGAGGAGAACTTGCAGCTTGTGATATTCCCTGCAGTGCTGAACAGCCTTATTAATTATCACAAGTAGACCATAGGACATAGGAGCAAAAATTAGGCCATTCAGAGTCAGCTCGGCCACTGAATCATGGCTGATTCGTTTCTCAACCCCATTCTCCCACTTTCTCCCTGTAACCCTTGATCCCCTTGACAGTCAAAAACCTATCTACCTATGTCTTAAATATACTCAATGACCTGGCCTCCACAGCCTTCTGTGGCAGTAAATTCCATAGATTCACCACTCTCACCACCCACACCACTCACCCTTGGGTAACTGTGTGGAGTTTGCACATTCTCCCAGTGTCCGTGTGGGTTTTCTCCGGGTACTCCGGTTTCCTCCCAGTCCAAAGATGTGCAGGTTAGATGAATTGGCCATGCTAAATTGCCCATAGTATGCAGGGTAAGTGGGTTAGCCATGGGAAATGCAGGGTTATGGTGTAGGGGGGAAAGAGTAGGATGCTCTTTGGAGGGTTGGTGTGGACTCGATGGGCCAAATGACCTGCTTCCACACTGTAGGGATTCTCTGAATACTGGCTACGAAGAGAGGTTGAGTAGATTAGGATTATTTACATTAGAAAGACGGAGGTTGAGGGGGGGTCCTGATTGAGGTATACAAAATCATGACAGGTATAGACAGGGTGGATAGCAAGAAGTTTTTTCCGCAGAGTGGGGGACTCAATTACTAGGGGTCACGATTTCAAGGTGAGAGGGGACAAGTTTAAGGGAGATATGCATGGAAAGTTCTTTACGCAGAGGGTGGTGGGTGCCTGGAACGCGTTGCCAGTGAAGGTGGTAGAGGCGGGCACGATAGCGTCATTTAAGATGTATCTGGACAGATACATGAATGGGCAGGGAGCAGAGGGATACAGATCCTTGGTAAATAGGTGACAGGTTTAGATAGAGGATCTGGATCGGCGCAGGCTTGGAGGGCCAAAGGGCCTGTTCCTGTGCTGTAATTTTCTTTGTTCTTTGTTCTCTGGCTGAAAAAGTTTCTCCTTATCTCCATTCTAAAAGGTCTTCCCTTTACTCTAAGGCTGTGCGCTTGGGTCCTAGGCTCTTCTACCAATGGAACCATCTTCCCAACATCTACTCTGTCCAGGCCGTTCTTTATTCTGTATTTTTCAGTTAGCTGCCCCCTCATCCTTTTAAACTCCATCGCATATAGACCCAGAGTCCTCAAACGTTCCTTATATTTTAAGCCTTTCATTCCTGGGACCATTCTTGTGAACCTTCTCTGAAACCGCTCCAGGGTCAGTATATTTTTCCTCAGATATAGGGCCCAAAACTGCACACAATACTCCAAATGCGGCCTGACCACAGCCTTATACAGCCTCAGAAGTACATCCCTGCTTTTATATTCAAGTCCTCTCAAAATAAATGCCAAAGTTGCATTTGCCTTCCTAACTACTGACTCAACCTGCAAGTTTACCACTTCGAACTTCTGAATTATCTCCCCATTTAGAAAATAGTCCATGCTTCTATTCCTTCTTATCAAAGTGCATGACCTCACACTTTCCCACGTTGTACTCAGTCTGCCACTTCGTTGCCCACTCTCCTAACTTGTCCAAATCCTTCTGCAGCCTCTGCGCATCCTCAATACTACCTGTCTTTGTATCGTCTGTGAACTTAGCCAGAATGCCCTCAGTTCCTTCATCTAGATCATTAATGTATAAAGTGAAAAGTTGTGGTCCCAACACTGACTTGTCACTGGCTGCCATCCTGAGAAAGACCCTTTTAACACCACTCTCTGCTTTCTGCCAGACAGCCAATCTTCTATACATGCTAGAACCTGCCTCTAACACCGTGGGCCCTTATCGTAATCAGCAGCCTTCTCTGCGACACCTTATCAAAGGCCTTTTGGAAGTCCATGTAGTTTTACCCTTCCACCCACTCCCCACTCCTCCACCCCTCTGCCCGCCCAAACTTTCTAGTTTAAAGTTCTGTTGACCAGCCTATTTACCCTTTTTGCTAGTACATTGGTCCCAGCTTGGTTCAGGTGGAGCCCGTCCCAACAGTACAGATCCCTCCTGTTCCAATACTGATGCCAGTGCCCCGTAAAATGGAACCCCTCTTTCCTGCACCACTCTTTTAGCCACGTGTTTACTTCTCTTATTCTCGTGTCCCTATGCCAATTTGCATGTGGCTCAGGCAGTAATCTGGAGACTGCAACCCTTGAGGACCTGCCTTTTAATTTCGTTCCTATCTCCTGAAAGTCCCTGAACAGGTCCTCTTTCCTAGTCGTGCCTATGATGTTTGATCTGATGTGGACCACAACAACTGGATCCTCCCCCTCCCTCCCCAATATCCTTTCAAGTCCGTCAGAGATATCCCTTACCCTGGCACCAGGCAGGCAACACACCATGAGGGACTCTCGATCCACAAATCTGTTTGGTAGTAGTGACTGCCCTGATGCAAATCTTCACCAAGTGACACACCACTAACTGTCCTTCTTTAAATTTTTCAACATGCTTGTAAGCCTTTGACACGGTTGACTATATCATCCTTCTCTAACATCCATCCTCTGTGACCACATTCATCTAGTTCCTTTCTTGTTGATCCAATCATGTTTACCCAATGAATTACCTAGACTAGTTTCTCTTCCCATTCCTAATCACTCACCTAGAGTTCCCAAAGATACATCCCTGGCTTCTCCTATTCCTCATCCACATAACACTGCTTGGCAACACTACCTAAAACAGACCAAGTTCTACCTATACAATGCTGGCACATCTGGTTCTGCCTCACCACGACCTCCCTTGACCCTTTCAGCATTCTCAGACAAGCTGCAATTTACTCCAATTAAACATTAGAAAGACCAAAGCCAATCACTCCCCAATCAGTGTTCCTGCCACAAGTAAGGTGTTCCACTGGATGGTTTGGTAGCTGAACAGGACTGTGGTCGCATCACAAAAGGGAACTGGTTAAATACTGGAAAGGTATATCTTGCAAAGTCATAGAGTAAAAGGATGTGGAGGCTTTAGAGAGGTACAAAAGAGGTTTACCAGGATGTTGTCTGGATTGGACTGCATTAGCTATCAGACAACATTGGACAAACTTGGTTTGTTTTCACTGGAGCTTAAGATAAGGGGCAACCTTATGGAAGTGTATAAAATTATGAGAGGCTTGGATAGGATTGATAGTCAGAGTCTTTTTCCCAGGATGGAAGGGGCAAGTTTAAAAGAGATGTGTGAAGAAAGGTTTTTTTTTCTAAATACACCGAGGGTGGTAGGTTCCTGGAAATATGCTGCCAGGGCAGGTGGTAGAAGCAGGTATGATAGCAAGGCTTAAGAGGTATTTAGACAGACACATGAACAGGCAGGGAATAGAGTGAGATGGATCACGTACGGGCAGATGAGATTAGTTTAGAATGGCAACATGGTCGGCTCAGACATGGTGGGCCAAAGGGCCCGTTCCTGTGCTGTACTGTTCTAACAGCAGGAAGAGTGGAATTAAATCAGATTGCTTTCTTAAAGAATTGACATGGAAACAATAGGCTGAATTGTTGCCTTCCTTAAATTCATTCTATATACAGACTAACAACATTCATCCATAGTTACTAAGCAGGATTTTTCTGTCTCCCACGAACATGCAACAAATGCTAGAGTAGGCCTGGTGGCATCAACCTCAGATCTGTGGCTTTTTAAATTTAATTCTCTAGATGCTGGTGAGACTCAAAAAGGTCCATCTTTACTTATACTGATGGAGCAACTAGATGACTTGCTCAGCCACAGAGGGCATTATAGCATCAATGACTAGAGAGAGCGGAGCACTTGCAGGCCATACTAGATACGGGAGGAGGCTGGTTTTTTTTTTTTTTTAAATGACATTATTGAGTCAGTTGTGGTTTCTGTTGCAAATCCAATGGTTGGTAGTGTAATTTTTAATCTGGCAATCAACTACAAATGACAAGATTATGATATTAAGTTTCACAATTTACCCAGACAGGACATGAGATCACAGTCTTCAGGTTGTTACGCCCGCTAGGACTACTGTAGCCTGGGACTGAACTCTACCCTTACCTTTATCTGTAGCAGCACTGCTGTCAGCCTGGCTATTAGATCAGTGAGGTTTTCATTCCTCACACTGGCCTGCCCAGTTTGTGACGTGTTTGCCTGTCGTACAAGCTCATGTGCTTCCTCCTCACACCTCCTGCGCATGTCTGTGGGCTGGTCCATGGGTTGCAAGCCCTGGTCAGGAGCGAGCTGTCATTTTTCAGGCCAAACAAAAAAGCACAAAAGGCAAGGTGAACCAACGCACAAACTCTCATCCACTGCAATTAAATATTGCCCGAAGTTAGACCGAGAGAATGCTACACAAAACCAAGTCAACAACCTGCATTTTATGTAGTGACTTTAACATGGCAAAAACATTCTAAGACTCTTCACTGGAGTTTACTCAAACATAATTTGACACGGAGTCATATAAAAAGATTGATGACTGTAGGATCTAAGGAGCAACTGAAAAGAAGGGAAAAGAAGAGAATTGCAGAGTTTTAGGGGGCAAATATTAGAACTGAGGCAGCAGATGATATCGCCACCAAGGGTGGAGTGATGCAAGTTGAGAATGCTCAGGAGACCAGAACTGGAGGCAAAGAATCACATAGCGTGGAAACATACCCTTCGGTCCAACTCGTACATGCCGACCGTAATCCCAATCTGATCTAGTCCCATTTGACAGCATTTGACCCATATCTTGTAAACTCTTCCTATTCATGTACCCATCCAGATGCCTATTAAAGGTTAATTGTACCAGCCTCCACCACTTTCTCTGGCAGCTCGTCCATACACGCATCACCCTCTGTGTGAAAATATTGCCATTCAGGTCCCTTTTAGATCTTTCCGCTCTCACCTTAAACCTATGCCCCTCTAGTTTTGAACTTCCCTACACTGGGAAAAAGACCTTGGCTATTCACCCTATCCATGCCCTTCATGATTTTATAAACCTTTCTAGTTTCATCCCTCAGCCTCCGACACTCTAGGGACAAAAACCCCAGCCTATTCAGCCTCTCTACTCTATTCAGCTCAAAACTTCAAATCCCGGCAATATCCTTGTAAATATTTTCTGGACCCTTTCAAGTTTAACATCATCCTTCCTAACAGGGAGCCCTGAATTGAACGGAGTGTTCTAAACATGGCCTCACCAATGCCTTATACAGTTGCAACATGACGTCCTAGCTCCTATACTCAATGCACTGACCGACGAAGGCAAGCGTGCCAAACGGTTTCTTCATCACCCTGTCTATCTGCGACTCTACTTTCAAGTAACAATGAACCTGCACCCCCTAGATCTCTGTTTGGCAACACTCCCAGGGCCCTACGATTAACTGTGTAAGTCCTGCCCTGGTTTGCCTTACCGGGGCGACATGTTGGCTCAGTAGTTGGGATAATCCACATATTACTATCCTGAAGGACCTACATTTTAACGTCCTACCTAATTTCCTATATTTTCTCTACAGAACCTTGTCCCTTTCTCTACCTATGTCAATGGTACCAACATAGAACAGTACAGGCCCTTCGGCCCACGATGTTGTGCCAACCTATTATCCTAAGATCAATCTACCCTGCATACCCTACATTTTACTATCCTCCATGTGCCTATCCAAGAGTCGCTTAGAAGTCTCTGAAGTATCTGACTCCACTACCACTGCCGCAGTGCATTCCCCACGCCCACCACTCTCTGTGTGAAGAACCTACCTCTGACATGTCCCCTATACCTTCCTCCAATCACCTTAAAATTATGCCCCCTCGTAATAGTCATTTCCGCCCTGGGAAAAAGTCTCTGACTATCCACCCGATCTATGCCTCTCTTCATCTTGTATACCCCTATGAAGTCACCTCTCATCCTTCTTCGCTCCAATGAAAAAAGCCCTAGCTCCCTAACCTTTCTCATAAGACCTGCCCTCCAATCCAGACAGCATCCTGGTAAATCTCCTCTGCACCCTCTCTAAAGCTTCCACATCCTTCCTATGAGGCGACCAGAACTGAACACAGTATTCCAAGTGTGGTCTAACCGGGGTTTTATAGAGCATATACAACCACCTTCTGCTGGTCACTCTCCCATTTCAGAATATTCTAAACCCACTGAGGCATCCTTGATCCTGGCTCCAGGGAGGCAACATATCATTTGGCTGCAGAAAGGTCTGTCTGTGCCCCTGATTAGACAGTCCCCAATCACAATCAGTTGCTTGGAATCTGACATATCCTTCTTTATAACAAAGCCAGTCAGAGTACCAGAAACCTGGCCGTCGGTGCTATATTCCCCTGAGGCCATCACCTGCTACAGTATCGAAAACTTGTTTAAGACTGGGATAGTCACAGGAGACTCCTGCACTACCTGCTAACTTCTTCCACCTTTCCTAGCAATAGTCCATTCACCTGACTGTAACTGAGGACTTTCTATCTTCCTGAACCTGCCATCCGTCACACCCCCTGGCTCCTGTAATGCAGAGGTCTTGGGAGAGTTGTAGAGCTACAAGAGATTGCAGAGATAGAGTCGGAGCAGGGCGATCAATGCAAGGATGAGGACTTTAAAACTGAAGGAATGCAGGACAAGAAGCCAATGTATTTGAACAGCACAAGGGTAATGGGTGAGCGGGACTTAGTGCTAGTTAGCATATGGAAAACACAGTTCTGAATAAGCTCAAAAGTTCACACAAATACAGCACACGAGACCTAGTGAATATCACTGTACAGGAGGACCGAAAGTAAGGAAACTCAGGATGGTGAGATTACAAGATTAACAGATCCAGGTAAACAATGCCAAGAATTCTCACCTCATAACAATACTGCTGGACTTTATTGAGCACCTTGTTCAGATCTTTATTTAGCTGCTCCAATTCTAAAACAATTGTCGCATATCGTTTTTGAAAGTCTATCCCAATGGGAGCAGAGTATGATTTCTGAAGGAGTGAGAAATCAGTCAGTCACTTCCTAGCTTAACAGGTCTGATAGTGTCCTTAAACTCAACGACCAAAGGGTAGGATGGGATGGGCAAGAAAGGAAATGGGAGAGAATAGAAGAGCTCACATTTGCATGAATAATCACTAAACATTCCATTCTCAATAACCACTGCTAAAAAAGTTGAAGACTATAATAAAACCAAGAACTGCAGATGCTGGAGATCTGGAACAAACAAAACCAGGAGGGTAAAAAAAAAGGTATATGAAGGGTCACTGGACTTGAAACATTAACTCTGATTTCTATCCACAAAAGATGCCAGACCTGCTGAGTTTCTCCAGCAATTTCTGTTTTTGTTTTAGGTAAGAGACTAACTTGGTTAATCAACTGTTTCTAGGTTCTTGCTGAACAATAATCAGCATGCTTGTTTTCATGCTCTTTGAAAGGTTAATTTGTTCAGCAAAAGGAAAGCTGCAATTCGTAGAATCTTACAGCATACCAGAGGGCCATTCAGACCAGCATGCCTTTCTCTTTGAAAGATTAATGTAATTAGTTCCACTCTTTGCTCTTTCTCCAAAGCCCTAAAAATTTTTCCTTTTTAGTATTTTTATTGGATCAGCATCAAATGGTGCAGAGACTTGAAGGGTCTACTCCTGTTCCTAATTTTCATATTCACATTTATACAATATTGTTTTAAAGTTATTGAATCTGCTTCCACTGCGTTTTCAGGCAGTGAACTTAGCTCATAACTTGCTGCATTTAAAAAAGGCTCCATGACTTTGCACCAGTATTTTTATTCGGTTTATTGGCCCTCCTGTCACTGGAAATAATTTCTCCCCATCCACTCAAAAACTTCCATAATTTTAAACACGTTAGCAATAATATTGTGCATCATCAGTTCTCACATTCTAGAAAGTGCTTCACACACAACAGGTTAATTTTGATGTTTGGTGACTTCAGTTGCCAAATACAGGATATCCTTAAACAGCAGTGATACGAATCACTCGTTACTTGTACAATACTCTACTTGTATTCCCCTGCACCACACTCCCCCTCAACCCTAAACAATCACCAGCCTCGTGTTCATTCTCTTACATTACTCTTCACCCTTGAAGGCCTCAAACTTAAAAATCCCTGACCTCATCCTGAAATCCCTCTGTGGCTTTGCTTTTCACTATTCAAGCAAATGCTTCCAGCCTCATGTTACCATCCTCACCATCCCAAAGCCCCAGCACAGAACAACTGCTGGTCTATTGCTCACCCCCATTCCTTTGTCCCATCACTGGCAGCCTATCCCCTGGAACTCCCTTCCATACGCTTCCCTCCTTTAAAGAAAACTCCTGAAAATACTCTTCAAGGTAATTCCTTGAATCTTGTCTTTCCCAACTCGATGTTCATTTTCCACATCAATCACTTGGTTGTATCTCAATCAACGTGTAGACAGGTTTTCGATGCTTTCTGTATGCCGTGACGCACAACACTTGATACAGTGCCTTGAGATCATTTGATTACCACAGAAGTGATGGAACACTATCAAAAAATATTTTGGGAGCATTTTGATATGTGATAGAGAGAAGAACAAGTAACTTAGGACCTGGGATTCCATGACATCTTTATTCCAATAAGGGATTATAGTTGCCTTATATCTGGGTCTGCTGTTGACTAATTAATACAGATTGACTGCTATGACTGATCAAGATTACTGCGGATGGCAGAAAGTGAATGAGATGGAACTTGGTCTTTTCTCGTTGAGAAATTCAGGTGCCATACTTGTATTGTACAACTCCACCCTGACAGCAGTTACATCGTAGTGTGAATACCAACAGCAGCCCCATTATAAACACCACATGGTTCTTTGATCTCAGTTACGTTAATGCAAGTGGCCACTGGACCCTCTCCAATACCCAGGCGACCAGAGTTGCTGGCCTGTAGCAGTGGCATGTGTCCATATATTAAGGAATGTCAGTACCTCATGTCATTGATAGACTATGCAGTCAACGTTAGCATGAAAGGGGAAATATGGACTACAGGCTTCAGGCATTGATCTTTAGTAGAATGAGCACTCAAACTGGCCATTTGGCCCACTACACCTATGTTGGCCTACTGAGAGTTATCAGCTTAATTCCATTGTTCTATCTGATCCCCATGCGATTTCTTCCTGTCCCAAAATAATGATCAGCTTTCCTTTTGCAAATTACATGGACTCTGTTTCAGGGCATCTGTGCCCTTTGTGCAAACCAACAATTTCTCCTCGCTTCTCTTTTGGGCTTTGCATGCCTCTGGGGGTGTCCAGAGCCAGGGTTCGAGTGACCTATGCTCTCTGGGGTTGGGAAGATGATGGATGGATGCTTATCGGACAGAAAAAGAGTTTGCACTGAACTCCAGCAGACACAACCCTGTGGCTGGGTGAGCATCTTTCAGTAGCTTGAAAATGATTTGTTTTCCATGTGGGTCAAACAGCCAGCTGACCTGAAGGAAAGCGAAGCAGGTAGATCTGGTGCCCTGGCTGACAAAATGCCCTCAAGCAACACCAAAACCAGTTTTGATTTCTGGCTGGGCAACCTTTGAGGTAAATAACTTAAAACCTGATGATAAAATTAGAAGATCCTTTACCAGTTTCTCTGCATCCGTGTTCATTTCTTTTAACTGTTTGATGTGCTCTTTCTTGATCATGAGAATTTTTGATAACCTTGTCTAAAAGCAGAAAATAAGACAATGATAACAACAATCTGACATGAAGAACTTTGCTGTGGCTTCACACATCATGGAAATTGCTTTCCTGGTCACATAATGAGGGCCAGTAACTTGACACAAGGGATGGCAACGTAATATTGACAGCAACTGTAAAAGATAGATGTAAACCTAGAAATTTGCAGGAAATGCCACTGTGTCAAAAATCATTGGCACAGCACAGGTTCTGTGGCCAGGAGCTCTGTCCCTCTGCCACTCAGTGTGGGCTCTTGCTCTGCTGAAATAATCACATATCAGGACATTGACAGCCATCTAGCACCTCACCCAAAACATGAGGCATAACAGGGAAGGTCAGCAGAATATTCAAAAGTCAAAAATCAGTCCTGTATCATCAAAAACCTACCAGCATACATTTAATATCTGACCAGATGCCAATCTCAATTTGATTCCTCCTAACTACCAATTCCACCTGATTCCTATGATGATTGATAAAGTAGAATAGGCCAATACTGTGTGACGTTTAGAAGAATGCGAGATATGTCATTGCAACATACAAGGTAGCATGATGGGGGGGTGCTGCTGGGAGGTTGTTAGCCTTTGCTGAACAGTCCAGAACCAGCAAACCGTCTTCAGATAAAAAAGGATCAAGACTGAGACGAGGAGGGATTTCTTCACCCAAAAGGATTGCAAATCTTTGCATTTATCCAACTCGGAGACTGTAGATCGACAGGAGATTCAAGGGATTATGGGGACCAGGTGGGCAAGTGGAATCGAGGCTCAAAATCCGTAATGATCGTACTGAATAGTGAAGTGGGCACATTGGGCTGTACACTCTGCTACTACAACTGTTTTGAATCTTCGTCAATGATTAGACAACAATTGGAACATTTGGAATCCTGTTGAAGAGACAATATCCAAGATTGTGGAGGAGTTGGAAGCTCCAGGCGGAGCTCGTCTGCTCCGTCCATTTATTTCTCACTCCCTTCTTTTTTCTCCCCCTTTTGGTATTTCTTCCCAGCCACGGTGCAGACCCAGGAGGCAGGTCTCGGCCCATCTCAGCCTGGCGTGGTGGTATCTCGGCGTGTGTACGCATCCTGCCCGGGAAAGGTCCCAGAGGCAGCAGGAATGAGACTGGAGGCAGCAGCTTCCGCAGTAGCTGTGGAGATGGCACCATGGTCCAATGCAGGAAAAAGTGGTAAGGGCGCTCACCGATATCTGGGGTGGCGGCTGAGATCTACCGGAGAGCGAGTTAAGGTCAAAGACTGTTGAACTTTTAACTTTATTTCTTGATTTTCTAGTTTATATTAAGAAGGACTTTAATCTTAACTATTGCCTTATTTCTTATTATGCAATGCTTAATTTAAAAAAAAACTGTGTTTCTCTTACTACTTGTACCCAAGTACCTTTGTACCTGGGGGGGGGGGCGTTGTGTGTGGTGACATCAGACACTTCTCACTGTACTCCTGTACTTCAGTACATGTGACAATAAAATTGAAATCTAAAACTTAGTCTAAAAATATATAGAGAGGGAAATAAAGAAAAGGAAAGAGAAACTGAAAGAGCGAACACATGCAAGATGCTGACAGACCCACTCACACTTCCTGTAATGACGACACTGTTTTTGTAGGCAGGTGATCAGATCTTTGCAGAATTCAGGCTCTCAGTGTTTACAGGAGATTTCACAATAGTGACGTCTGTAATGGACTGACAGACTGATACTTAACCACAAGCTCTGCATGCAACTGAGCCACACCGTGTTTCAGACTCTGCAATGAGTCATTTAAGTGGAATTGTAATCAAATTTTGAATGGAAGACTGTTTTCTACCTGGTTTGACAGTGCCTGGCTTTTGGCCTTATTTAGCAGAATGGATGGCACACATTTCTCAGCCCCATACTTTTAACATTCCTCAATGGAATTTCCTCTATTTACTCAACATAATTGATGTATTTACTTCGACTAAACAGGTAGAGGCACGTTTGATACATAAAGAACACACAGACTTACCACCTGGATAAGAAATTCAATAGGAAACCCCCCAAGTGTGTCTCCTTCAGTAGCTGACAGTTTGCTTTTCCAAGGCGATTGACCCAGAAGTGGATCATTGTCCTATCATGAACAAAAGGGGAAATAAAATGAGGCACCATTGATGCAAAGTCACAGGTTCTAAAGTTAGCTTTGACTTAATGGCAGCACTCTCCCTTCTCATTCCAGAGCAGTAAGCACGTCACGCGATGACATTTCAGTTACGGTTGCTAAACATTCTAGATTGTTCTGGAGTTTACCAGGAGTCTCCCAGGGACTACTGCTAGCAGAATTGGAAGATCTTTGCCCTTTAAATTCCTCACTGGAGCAGTCCGCCACATCCCCACCACCCAATGACGATGTCAACAACCATTTCGATGCCTCTTTATTGCTATTGTCACTCACAGAAGAGTGGCCTTCAGCCCATTGATTGCTAATGAGACTGCTCCACCTTTCAATAAGAACATAATTAATCTGATTGTGACCTTTACTCCAACTCCATATCTGTCCCCATATAGCCTCAATTCCCTGTTGATCAAAAAATTTGTCCGACTCAATCTGAAATATATTCAATGGCCACCCTCTACTGTTCTCTGCAGTCGAGAATTCCAAACACTGATGAGAGAAGAAAATCCTCATCTCTTTCTCAGGTAGCAGACCTCTTATTTCCAAACTTTATCCTCCCAATGAGAGGAAACGTCTCAGCATCGATCCCTGTCAAGCCGCTCATGATCTTAATCTCATTGCAATCACTCTTCACTTTTCTAAACTGCAAGGACTATCGGCTCAGCCTACTCAACCTTTCTTGATAAGATAATCTCTTCACCCCAAGAACCAGTCGAACAAGCCTTCTCTGCATTGCTTCCAATGCAAATGTATACCTTCATGCACTCACTTGTGGCTCTGCTAAAATGTGACCAGAAATGGGACAGGTTGGTGGAGGTACCTTTAGGAGTCCATCTTGTAAGAAGTGTGGGGTTTGGAAAATGGCAAGCAGCAAATGATGAAAGTTTCTTTTTAACATCATTAACTCAGATGGATAATTATTTGACACAAATTAGTTTTAGAGCTATGGGGAAAGGTCAGGGAGCGGGACTAATCAATGATTTTCTCAAACAGCTGGAATGATGGACTGAATGGCCTCCTCCTGTGCTGTAAGATTCTATAAAGCTTCAGATCCTCATCACAGTGTGTGTAATAAACCCCCTCCTAAATTCTTCATTTGACTGTGCAATACTGAGGGTGTACTACATTCTCAGAGGTGAGATGAGAAAGAGACCTGTCTACTCACTCAGAAGCACGTAGTTTCTAGGATCGTGCCGGCACTGCAAAAGTAACTGTACCTCTGGCTGTGAAGCTCACTTATTTTTCTGTCCTGGCATTATGTTGCTGCAGTCCTCTTTATTTCCACTAAAGGGAGCTCTAACATAATACAGTGTTCCCCTAATGTCAGATCTTTAGCACTGTGTGGTTAAGTCTCACATTTCCAGCGAATTTTCCAGTAAGTTAAAATTGTGTCTGTTCTAAGCTCATTCATTTTTAAAGGTGTGGGTCATTCAGCCTCGTGAAGCTATTCCACTTTAGTATAAAACTATCACGTCCGAACATCCTCAGCTGTCCAATAGACAACAATAATGACAGCTTATGTTTATAAAGTACTTTAATGTAGTATGAGATAGATCCTCAGCTTCACGGTTGCATTACCTAATAAAATTTGACATTGGGCAAACCTTGGGCAAAGAGATGGTTTTTAATGGAGGAACTTAAAAGGAAAGTGGCGGGGCGGGGGGGGGGGGGGGGGGGGGGGGGGGCGGGCACGTCCGCATCT